TGTAAAGGATGTTTCGGTTCTGGGACTTGGGGGAAGAACCAATATTTTGTTTAGGGTATCTATTAAATCGCAATTTCTAGTGATTCTTCGAAACCCCCGACTTGCTTTAGAATATTCGAAGACAGTCTCAAAGTCAATGTTTTCTTTTCAATTTGCACTTGCACTCTACGGGTCTACTAGAACTAGCATTCGTTCAATAATCTCCGCAACTGGGAAAACCTCGTCGTGAGATCCTCTGCGTCAACTAACCAATTGGAGCGTTGAAAACCTAATGTAATGGTAAATTTTAACTGGCTACCTTATAAATTAACTTTGGCGCTTCTATTTATATTTTGAAATTTCGAAAACCCACTTCAGCTTCCCCAAAATGTAAACAAAATTTGAATTCTTAGCAATTCTCTTATTGTATTGTATTTAATTAAATGTAAAGGGGCTTAGAACAAGACAATAGACGCCATTTTGACGGTGACATTGTGCTCCAATCGAGAATGCTTTATTTCAGTTTTTTAATTAAATTGCGTCGTACCTGTTGAACGGTTATGTCCCCAAGGATATTTCCTTTTAGGTGAATTTTCCGTTTCTCTGACGCAATGCCTCGGGGACACGCCGTTATTTGCAAGAGCAATTTTACCCGTTAAGTTCTTAGGTAGGGGAAGTTCATAGAAAGAAATTTTAAAAATCGTAATAAACCTCTTTTTCTTTGTAAAAACTGTGCTAATCTGCGTAAGCTTATTTGGGAACGTGGAAAGGACTCACGGATGCGCTTTTTCTAACTCTGAAATTCCTTACTTCAAACTTCCAAAAGTGTCTTAAGGGCAGTTCAGAAACGCAAACCCAATTAAAGGTGCGTCCATTCACTTTTAAACACTAGCAAATCTCGGGAGCTTCATCAAGCGAGACACTTTAAAAACCACTTGTAACATTAACCTTATTATGCCCGACACGTACCGATTTCCACTGGAAAAGCTTCACGTTTTAAATATACTCGCCCACTTGAACAGTCGGCGCAAACTGAGCTTTTCGAAAGCTTCGAGCGGGGTTTCGCGTGCATCCTTGTCGCTCACACGCAATTTCAGCGTGCATCCTTGTCGGCAGGTTTTCACTGGAAACCATGCGCCAACAGTTCCCGCCAAAGCTCATGCTATTCATTGACAAAAACACCCACATCCGCGCTATTCCATCAACCTTCGCACCTACGCTTAACCCTCTAACCTTCCAACATTTACCATTTGATGTAAACAAAACGAGAACCTGAGAATTTTTTACTTTTTCACGTAACCGCGTGGGTAAAAGTTGAGCTTTTGTGCCTACGTGTAGTATTAATGAGTTTGGTAACCGTTTCGTAATCATTTCGTGCGCTCGAATGGGAAACAATGCGTGCAATTATCACAAGGGGCTGAAAAAGCGCGTTTTGTTGTACGGAAACTTGAATCTCTCGGGTTGGATAATGGTGAAAGCGAAGCTTTAATCTTTTTACATTGTTTACTTCTCGCTTCAACAACTTCTACTGTTGAATTTCACTTTAGTCCCATTGTAAAGTACACAAGACAAAATCTGACAAATTAAACTTCTTTTAAAGTATGTATATGTCCTAATCGGATGTCAGAAACAGGAAATTTTCCCTCAACTTCCTTTCGGTATTTTCAATAAACAGAAAAAGGGATCGAAACCCCTTTCCGTAAATAGAAAGTGGAAGTTTATAAACAGATATTCAACTCCTATTCTACGCATTTTCCTTTCTGTTTGCATAATAAACTTTGTCTCGTTATGTATTAATCTCAAAGGGTTTGCGAGAGGATTTTCTGAACCGGAACTTTTTTAAATTCGATTACGGCTAAATTTATAAAAACCTCGACAGTTTTTTTTTAGTTATTACCGCGAGTACTTACTAAGTACGCAAGGGGTGTGCTGGAAGAGATAAATCTAAAGGGAAAAAAGTTTCTTCCGCTTCGCGCGCCATTTCATTCGAACGACTATAAGAGTAAAACTAGCAATGCGATGGCACTTTGCCCTACTTCAAAGGCGTTGTGAAGGTAACTCTTGCCACTTGGTGCTGGAATTCGGCGTGCCCTTAACAGTTGACCGGTTAAACGCATTCGCTTTTCCACGTCACTTTAATAGTCGACCCTTCTTCACATGCTCTAATTTCACTGAAGGACCATTTCAGATACCTATTCGCGATTCAGGGGCGCTGATGTAATTTACAAATGGCGTGTATTGGTAGGAGCGGTTTGTGAACGTTTTTAAGTGAAATTGTACTAATTTGAAAGTGAATTGAATTTATCCTACCATTTTTTAAAATTGAAACTATAACCCCTTAATCCTATCCTACGTGAACGCCTTTTTCTAAAAGTTTTAAAGAACTCGAGGCTGTTTCGAATTAGCTTGAACACCGCGCAATTAACTTTATATACAAATAAGGATCATGATTTATCATTCAATGTCTAGGGCACTCATGCCTGCAGTTTTAGAACAACTCGCCGACATTCCCTTACGTTGATTATGCTTAAAACATTCGTGCACAATTACACTGATCACAATTTAAATAATAGGAATTCTTCGATGTGTCGTACTTTAATAAACAACGATTTAAATTTTTGTTATTACCTATCTAATCGCGCAGACTAACATCTTTCAATGTGAATATTCCGCTTTAAGTTTTGCTTATCGTGAGTAGCGCAATTACAATGTTCGCAAATTAAATGTTTGAGAAGGTTGTGTGTGTTAAGAGTAACGCTTAATTGTAGCGTAATTACACTGATAGCAGTGATAGAATCTTATTCAAAGCGGTGTGTGTCAAAGAATGACGTAAGTATATATCTCCTATTTTTTTGTTATGTATTTGCACTGTTCACAATTAAAGACTTTGGAAATGTTACGCGTTACACAAAGATTCTTTAACTTATCTTTATTGTTGGTTGCATAATTGCACTGATCACATTTAAAATTCTTGAAATTAACGTGATAAAATGTGACGTTTTAGACTATACTTGCTCTACATTGATTGCAAATGTACATGTACTTACTTTTACAGCTGTGAAAACTATAATATTGATTTCTTTTGCCACTGTAAATAAACAAAATGGCGGTATTATACCACCAATATTAATTACAATGTGCTGCCACCAGAGGGCTCACTGTTAATCTGAATCGCGAATAAATTGTGTTGCTGGATATATTGTGCTTTAGAAACATTCACGTGGTGTGGCATCAACGAGAATATTGTGTCTGTGAATTTGAACTTATTCCGTATTTTTCAGAACTTAGCACATACTTCAACATGTTGTTATTTTTTGTGTATTTTAGAAATCATTACTCATTTGCCTTTGAGAGACAAGTTCCATACCGTTTACCAACTGCCAAAATCCTATTGAAAAGCTAGTATCCTTTTCATATTTATTTGCCTTTATTTATGAGTGGGCGGGGTTTCAGCCTAGGCTGCTCTGCCAACCCAACCCACTATACATTTACAAATATCCATTCCCGAACCCGGATTCGAATCAGGGACCTTTAGCATCACAGTTCAGCGTTAATGAACTGCGCCACACGGGCCGGCCGGCATAATAGCATATTTTGAAATGAAATTCCGAAAATAATAATAATAATGGTGTTTTGACTTCGAATGGTTTCTGAGTACTAACGGCCCTGTCCATCTAACTGCGTGTGAAAGTTAAAGGCGCCCGAAAGTTGTGGGACGAGAGGAATTAAGTGATGCTCCTGTTGATGCCAAATCCACCGTTATCGAGCCTAGTATGCAGCGTGCTTTGTTTTGCTGAGCCTATGGGAAGAGTATATTGAGGAGAACTATCAATTTGGGTTTCTAGGGATTTCTTATTTTTCGGAGGGAGTAATACAAAAGCGGCTACTTTTTTTCCTAATGATGTTTCATTTGAACATTTCCGAACCATATTTAGAACAAATATGTTAGCTGTTCACTACCCACACAGCACAACACATCCGCTAGATATCCATTAGATGTGTAGCATGTCTATAACATATCTACTCCACAACAAATGTCTAATGGCTATCCATTAGATGTTTAACTAGATTTTTAAAAAGCGAAATAAAAGTGAATTAGAAAATTCATACTACACATACAGTTATGTTGTTTGCAACAAATTAAATGAATTATATACATAATTATGTAATATGTGTTATTATAGTGAATGTCTAATGGATAAATATAGATATCCAATACGGTCAATGCGTATTATAAGAAGTGTTCCAGTTGTAGGATAAAATGGTATCTACAAACAATATTTATAATAAAAGTGTAGATTTTGACCCAATCTAAACCCATTGCATTGTGGGTAAGTCCGCGCGCGCGCAGAAACGTGCTGTGTAGCTGAATTTTTTGCAATGAATAAATCATAAATGTTAACTACAACGCCATTTTGTAAATCTTGTTGGTTTAGCTTTAGAGGTTACTGTGAGTGTGTTTTTATTTTGCAATCGTATGTATTTGTATCGGTGTTAACATTTATTACAAGCGGGATATTTTATTAACAGGTGAGTAAAACACGAGGTAAAATATTAATGGCAGAAAGCGGCCCGTACATGATCAATAATATTGTGAAACCAGTCGATATGATCTACATAATTCATACTAATGGCTGTATTTCAAAATTGCAAGAATTTTACTTCAATACCCTTAGTCAAACCATCAATACCAAAGAGGCAATCTCAAAATTATTGTCAATATTTAGAAATATTGTTATTATTGATCGTGTATGGGCCGCTTAATACTTGATTTCTTCATTTCCCATATTTTTTGTTAGAAATTGGATTTCGCTGTAATTATGGCAGAATAATCGGCTGTATATTGAGTATGTCTGATTCTAAAGAATTGCCAGAGAAATGTCTTTTGGGTCTTTCCAAACGGCAGTTAAATCGCATAATACATAATGTAGCTAAAAAGAACTGCGCATCACATGTAGCTCAAGCCATCGTAAACAACGATGAGCAATAATAACTAATCGCAAATAGCTGTATTGATCCTGATGAGGAACGAATTGATGGATACGATTCCGAAGGCTCTTTTATATGTATACTGGATGTCTCGAACAATGAAGATCAAGAAAAGTTTGGGATTAATGATGACAAACTTGTAAATGATGATGTCCTTCCAATTGACAGCTTACCATTATCCGCTGAAGATCAATCTGATTTAAATACCGACACCGAATTATCTAAAGAAGTTAGAAGACAGAAAAAAAGAAGAAAACGAGTTCTTCCAGCGAAGAAGAGTCCGAAGCCTCGGACGCTACTGATGAGCGCATATTGGAATATCCACAACCACCAAAACGCTCCAGACAACTCCAGGCAGTAAAAGGTAAAGAAATTATAAGATTGCAATAGATTTTGTACAACATGTATTTTTAGATAATAGTCAAGACATAGTTTTGGAAAACCAATCTAGCTCTGGTATCCAAAAATTGGACCAAATTGAGGCACCAGGTATTTGTTTAGCTTTTTATTAAAATTCTAAATATCTAATAAATTATTCTACAGTATCTTCTTTGAGGGCGTTGCGGGAGTTACAATCACAAACACCAACGACTTCGGTGTCACGATGTTCTACACCCCAATATACTGTTAACGCTGATGAAGGTATACATTAAACGTGCTGATTTCTTATGTGTAACACTATTAATTTTTAGATTTTAAATCTAAGTTATTTAAGGAGTTGTCCTTTATAAAGGTACATTTAATCAAAGTTAGCCAACGACTTTCGGCATTGGAGGAAAATCTCAATAGTTCATCCAAAACAGAAGCTGATGACGATCACATAAATAATGATTTTGAGGAGATAATCAAAAATCAGTTCCCATTACAATTGGAAGCAGATTTACAAAATATGGAAAGGCAATTAACAGAGAATCCTGATTTAAAAAAATTTATGGTGAGATTACTAGGCGAATGAATTATATACTTAATACATTATTTTAGGTCAGTTATTGTAGTAGCTTTGGTGGACATAAAGTCGATGAGGTTACTAAAATTATTTTGAAAAAATTACTATCAAATAAATTAGCTGGCAACTACAGTTGGTTGGGAGCGAAAAAGAAAATGTCATTCAGTGGATTACAGATAGCAGAAGTTATTTTATGTAAGTTAAAATATATGTACGATATAAGCAATTATGTTTTTACCTATTACTTTATGCACTTGGGACCTACTTCTATTAATCTAATTCTTTCAGCTGCTGTAAAACGAAATAAATCTTTGGTTGGTGCTACAGAAAAAGATGTGATTGATTCAATTAAGAATTGGTTAAGACATGCTGCTGCAAGATATTCAAATCAATGGTATGTTATTGTTGCATGTATGTTTATTTATCAGGAAAAATTTTTTTCTAATTACAGCAAGAAGAATCAGAATCAAGAAATACAATGAAGTGTATAAGTTACAGATTCGTAAAATAAAGATTGCTATAATCAGAAATTTTTTATTTAAAAGGATTACTGGATATCTTTTTTCACCCCTTTCATAAAACTGGCAGATATCTAATGGAGATAATCATTTAACGTCTAATGGAGATCTGTATGGATATCCAGATTCTTGGATATAGTGGGACATCTGGATGTCTAAAGGACATCCACTATACGTCTATGTATATCTAATAGAGATCATGGATATCCATAAAAAACACATCTTAGACGTCCAATGGTTGTCTTTGTGCTGTGTGGGATAATAACCAAAAATATTCAAAGGCAAAATTTCGTTTAGGACGAGGTTTAGGATAAAAATCTTGCAAATTCGCTTTTGCCCTCGAAAATTTGGTTTCGCTCTCGTGAATTCGCTTCCCCCGTCAATAATTCATGCAAATTCGCTTTTGCTCACCCAAATTCGCCTCCCCTCTTTCGAATTCTCTTTCGTTCTCTTCGCTTTCTTCTTAGCGAATTTACTTTCGCTCACGCAAATTTGCTTTTGCCTGTTTCGCTTTCATCCTTTAGTGAATTCGCCTTCCCCCTTGTGAATTCGCATTCGTTTCGCGAATTCGTTTTCGCCCTCGTGAATTCGCTTCCCCTCTTGCGAATTCGTTTTCGGGCATCGCGAATTCGATTTCTCATTCCGGACTTCGCTTTTTCCTTCGCGAATTCGCTTTCGCCTCGCGAAGGGTTAAGTGTAAAAACAGGCAGCGGTTTTTTCTGCTGAACTTTGTTTGTATCTTTCAGGAATTTTATAATATTTTGGTAATTGTAATTTTTAGTATAACCATATCTGTGATATTGTGCAGTTTCCTGTTCCCAACTAAGTAACATCTTCAACTTACCAAAAATAAGTTAAACCGCTCCAGAGGGACATAAAACCGTCCATAATACCATTGCCAATAGGCTCCGCGTATTTAACAAACCAATTCGTGAGGACCCATTGTGACGCACTTCGTATGCGAAAAAGTGGATGCAGCAACATTAGTCGCCTTCGAAAAGTTGTCGAGCTTCCCAGAGGCAAGGTTCCAAACCACTCCACAATCGGTGAGAGTGCTAAGGAAATATTTCTCGCCAAGTCGCCACCGCCGTCATGACAGTGCAAAATCAGCAAAATAAATGGGAGTGTTAGGGCACCATTATAACCAGCGGCCCATTGATAAATGTCCTTCGTCGGCCAAGATTCCGCTGAACGCTTGGGTCTTCGCAGAAAAAATGTTTCCGTGGAAATATCCGGCGAGGTGGAAATCAAACCCAGGTTCTTGGAACTGTTTCCGAAGACTTCCAAAGAAAAACCTTCATTGACGCGACTAATAAAGAAATCCAAAGTAAATATCAAGGAGTGGGGGGGCGGGCGATACAATTTATTGTCACTGCTCCAAAATATATGAGTTGCCCTAAGATGCAATACCTAAAATGGTCTGACTCAAGGTTAATAGAGAAAGTAGGTTGCCTCGTAACTTTCAGCCAATAAACGTTCAGTATTAAAATACGCGAATGACGTCACCCAGAATCCCATTTTGTCCACATCATTAACGCAACAACAACAGAGCAAGTTCAAAAAATGCAAAATGGATCAAAATGGTACTTTACCTGGATGGTGCTGAAAAGTTCCTGCTTTTATTCAATGATGTTAGTGAAATATTAAACACACTTTATTTAAAATATCTTACATTTCATCTTCGTAGTTTTCGGCCGGTAAATGCAGACTGCACAGTCTAATGCATACGGGGTTCAGGTTCCCCTTTCCGTGCACTTTATAACCCATTCTTTTTTTAATACAGGAATTACCTTTTGGAAAAGCAAAAAACTGAATCTGCGATCCATTTGCTTTCGATTTGTTGTATACGTAATAGTCTTCAGCACTGTCTGATAATTAAGCACTTAATGGCCGTTTGCATCGACAAATTTAAGCGGAGCTTAGCTTAAGCGTAGCCACTTATTCAATGGCGTAGCTTAAAATCCATGGCAACCATTGTCTCAATAATCGTCACCATGGTTTTTAAGCTACGCTTAAGCTAAGCTCCGCTTAAATTTGTCGGTGCAAACGGCCATAAACAGTTCAAATATAACTGTCAAAGTCAACGAAAATTTAAACACCAATCAAATGAGCCTTCCTTCTCGATGACGCGTCGCTCTAAAGTTACGAACCTACTCTCTCTACTCAAGGTTAATAGAGAAAGTAGGTTGCCTCGTAACTTTCAGCCAATAAACGTTCAGTATAAAATTACGCGAATGACGTCACCCAGAATCCCATTTTGTCCACATCATAAAAATTAATTATTAACGCAATACCAGCAGAGCAAGTTCAAAAAATGCAAAATGGATCGAAATGGTACTTTACATGGATGTGCTAAAAAGTTCCTGCATTGCATAGAAAGAAACATACTGGCGAAAACGCACTTTATTCAAAATAGCTTACATTTCATCTTCATAGTCTTCGGCCGGGAAATGCAGACTGCACGCAAGTCTATTGCATACGGGGTTTAGGTTCCCCTTTCCATTGCGCTTTATAACCCATTCGATTTGTAATACAGGAATTACCTTTTGGAAAAGCAAAAAACTGAACCTGCGATCCATTTGCTTTCGATTTGTTGGAGCTGCTATTGCATATAACGTCACAAAGACTTCCATCCGGCATCTAATACCCTATATTGATACTTAAGTATCCAACAGTAAGTATTCAATCGAATTATAATAAGTATTCGTAATAGAGTCTTCAGCACTATCTGACAATTAAGTACTTACACAGTTCAAATATAACTGTCAAAGTCAACGAAAATTTAAACACCAATCAAATGGGACATCCGGATTCTTGATGACGCGTCTCTCTAAAGTTACGAGGCAACCTACTCTCTCAGTCTCTCTACTAACCTTGCTCTCTCTAACCTTAGGTCTGACCACCCTAATGCTACAGTGCAGGTACCGGAATCACTCATTGATTGATGTGTGAATACGTTCCTTTAGCCACGGCCACATGCGTAAATAAATGTTTTAACCACACTTTTTATTTTTGAAATCCAACACTTTTTCGTGCAATAATGAAACCAAAAAAGTTCTCAAAGCTCGAAAAGCAAACGAAACCCAAAAGCATCAACACACCGAAGACAAGAAAGCAGATTCGAAAAGAATTGCGAAAGGAGAAAAAAGCACGGAAGCACGATTACTACACGAACCGAAATCAAAATGGAAAATATGTGTTGCTTAGAAACAAACCATCCGAATCGTCACCACCACTGGAAAAGAAACTTTCGAAGGACCCAAAAGAGGTAACAATGATGCACGATTTGAAATTCCTAGCATGCGAGTTTCAGGCAATCACATCGGACGAAATACGTTTAAGGCAGTTGAACAAAGAAAAGCGAGAGCAAGAGAAATTACGCAAGCAAATGGAAGAGCAACGAAAGGAACAACTGTTAAAGGCAAACAATGTAGAAGATCGTAACATCAAAAGACTGGAAAAGCAATTGCATCTGAATAAGCGGAAGTCGAAAACAACACCTAAGTCATTTCTTGACGACGGATTAGATTGTATGTGTGTGCGGTGCGTTTGTATTGACTAAATCACGTTTTAGATTTGTTGGAGGTGTGCGATTCGAGCAACATGCAGGCAGCCGTTGCGGCCGAACAGCAATTTACCGAAGTAAATGACGATTTCGATGAAGATTTCCAACTTATGGCGAACAAAACAAAGTCACAGATGACTCGAGACACCTCTGAATCAGAAGAAGACGACGCAACTATGTCTGATGGTGGAGATAACTCGGAGGAAGAGGACCAAGCTATGTCTGATGATGTAGATGACGAGGAGGAAGACGTTGAGGCCATGTCCGATGGTTCAGATGACAAAGAGGAGGAATTTGATCTTGAATCCGGTGATCCAAAGAGCATGGATATGGAAGAAAGTGAGCAGCAGGAGGAGGGAAAAAGTGATACTTGGGAAGACATATACGGACGGTTGCGCGGAAAGGATGGCGAAATTGTCACTAATAATGAAGCAAAGTACATACCACCTGCCATCAGGGCAAAGATGGAGGGCGGATCATCTGATAAAAAACGTGCAGAGACGTTGCGGAAACTGCAGCGTCAAATTAAAGGTAAATGTTTGTAGGTCGATTGTCCATTGTCTGTTAATGAGGTGGAAGTCACTTACACAGTCGTTATTAACCTTTTTTATTATCAATTTTAAAACGTCAAGTGCCAGATGGGACGAATTCTGCCCCCATAGTTTTTCTTTCTATTTAATGCAAAATAATCGTTAAAATGTATATGAAAGGGGTAAGTACTATTTTGACATAACTAACATATTAACTATTACCAGAAGCTGTGCTAGTGCTAGAAGTGTAATTTACCCCTAACCATAGGCAACCCACCACGTACACATGTAAACAACTCCAACCATCTGTTGATGAACCTGAAGGACAAGCTTACTTATTGCTCTCAAATTACACAGTCGATCTTTGACACAGTTCAGTTGCCTAAAAAAACTAGTTGTCAGGTAAACTCCTGACTTGACTTTCCGACTACTTTTAATAGAGTCATTGCAATTATTATCTTTGGTCATAGTATAACCAAAGAATACTTATACTCTTTGGTATAACTAAAGTCACTAAATATAGAAAGTACCGTAATCCATTGGGCTCGTGTGTTAGAGAGAGAACGCATGATTTTTGCCCAAAAATGGCGGAAGTTACCAGATTCTAGTAACTTTAATGTTAGGGATTGTTCCACCTGTTTGGAGATATCTGTCAAGTATCTGAAATTTGAATTTTCTTTTCCTAATAAATCAAATATAGGTACCTATAGGGAGTTGTTGTGTTTCAGGTTGTAAAAAAAGTAATGCTGAAGGTGCGAGGTTGTTTCCTTTATCAAGTGGTGAAAGAAATGCGAAAAGGAAACAATTATGGTTTGACTATATCTAGTGACTAAGTATAACTACAGTGACTTTATAGAGACAGTGGCGACAATAGAGTGTCTAATTTTTGATTGGTCGTTGAGATCGGCCGCCATTTTGCGTCAAGTTTCACGTGTTTCCGATAATAGATATGCTCACGCGCATTCCCGCGCTTCTATAAACGTCACTAGTTGACACATTTGAAGTACAGGTGCCATGATATTCCTACAAAAAATAGTATCATGACAGATGACAGCCTGACATTAGCGACTTCTGCAGTCAAATGCTAGAGGCAGACGATGAAAAATTTGTGTTTCAATGGCCGTGAATTCAGTACCTAATTGTATTTCCGCGTGCAATTAGCTTTGGAGGACAAAGGCATCGAAAAATAGCTGAAAACGAATGTGGCGGAACCTAATATGTGTGACAATGTGGCAGAAATTGAGGATATTGTTGTGAAACGCGATACCATATTCGACTCGCAGTGCAATAGCCCATCGACCAATTTCTATGAGTTGGATTCAGCGAAGAGATTATGTTGACGAGGCAGAGTAAGACGATCAATTGAAAGGATGGTTTTCAGAAAGTAGTTGATGGAATGTGGACCATCCACTCAGGCGGAGACTAAACTAGAGACAACCATATTCATATTTACAGTTTTTATATCGCTAATTGTACTAATAAAACGTTTAGAAAACAGTCGTTTGCAATATGTGTAACGCAACCACCGCGCGTAGCGCCGGTAATTTGACTGCTCCCTAATATGATATTGCGGTGTACGCCACACATGCCTACGTGTATTGTGTGTTGCCAACTTTTTGACGCAAAATGGCGTCCAAACTCCTATTGTCGCCACTGTCTCTATAAAGTCACTGTAAGTATAACATTTAGAAAATGCCCTCTAGCGCCTTTATTTTGAACCCGACGCAAAAAGTGTAGAAGTTTTTTTGTAGATCTCATCAAGACCCTTCTTTTTTGTAACTAACACTTTTCACTTTGATGCTTACTTTTAGAGGGAAATGCAAATTAAAAAAATAAAATAAATAGTTTCACTTTTCAATTCAAAACTTCTCAAAACCAAAGGAACTCACAAAAAAAACTGTAATCAATTTTTTGTAGAGTTTTTTAAGTCATTTTGGCTCGAATTTTGGCCAATATAAGTTAAAAAAAATGGTAGTTTATTGGTATGTCCTACCTAGTAACCACCGCGCGAAAAGCACTGCTCAAGCGTTTGAGGCGGTACAGCAGGTCAAAATATCTGATATTTCCTCGTCTGCCGTCTTTAAAGGCATCTCAAAATTGTTTATTCGCTAGATATTTGCTCGTTTTTTTTTTAATTTACTGTTTAATAGCAAAAAAAATAAATGTTCACCTCCAATTAACCGTTACTGAATTTAGTTTGAGGATCAACGAGTGTTTTTCCTTTATCCTTTTCATCTACCTCATCTCCATTTACTAACGTGTATTTTCTTCCAGTGGGGTAATTAATTTTTTCGGTAATAAATAAATAAATATTGTTTTACCTTGTTTATCTTTCTATATTCCTGAGGCGAAGACTTAACATGAGCTAGTCCAGTTAACCTAATACAAGAATCCCGGTCGTAAATATAAAAAAGCATTTTGATGCCCAGCTAGGTGCCTTAGATAGAGAGAATTTATGACATTTCTGTCTAAAAATTTGCAGTAGGACAGAAAAAATCATGTACCTAAAACAGTCAATAAAGTTCTTACAGTTTTATGATTCTTCTCATTAATAATAATAATAATAATGCCTTTATTGAGCTACACCTTACCTGAAAAAAACAAATTTTTATTACCAATTACTCACTACTCAAAGGACGGAGTTCAGGTTGTAATAAAAATTATTACTCCTTGCTCTTACTGTGCTTGCTTTTGTTGTATGAACATCTTGCAGTTCCTCTTAAACTGCTTTAAAGAAAGTGATTTGAGATTTAGAGGGAGTGGGTTATAACTCTTGTAGATGTTGTAACTAAAGCATCTTTGAAATAAAGCTGTTTGATGGAGTGGCGGACTTATTAAACCCCTAAATCTCAAATTTAAATTATGTACATCGGTTCTATAGGTTATTTTATCATGGAGGTACGCCGGTGTCTTATTTAGGATGATAGAATGGTAAAGCACAAGACTATGATGCAGTCGCCTATTTTTCATATTTGGCCAATTTACATCTTTCAATTTATACGTGATTCTATCATATTTAGTTAATCTATTTTTTTGTTGGCAGGACTTCTAAACCGCTTGGCCGAAAGTAACATGCACAGTATCGCCTCGCAGATTGAAGATCTCTACATGAACAACAGCCGAAATGACATGAACGACACTTTGACTACTTTACTCTTCGATTCGCTCGTCACCCCCGTGCTGACTCCCGAACGTTTGATGCTCGAGCACATGTTGCTCGTGACAATTTTACATGCAAACGTCGGCACAGAGGTGGGAGCGCATTTCTTGCAAATGTCCGTGAAACGGTTTCACAATTTGTTTGACGAAGAAAGGCCGGTGGAGAATAAAATGTTGGACAACGGCGCGTCCATCATTGCGCATTTGTACGACTATAAGGTTGGTATGCGCTAAACCGTCGCTCACGGTATAATGCGGCTCGGTTTAGGTCATTCACGCCCAATTAATATACGAGATGTTGAATAAACTTAGTGGGCGATTTACGGAAACTGACATTGAATGTATTCTGCTGATTTTGAAGAGCGTCGGCTTCAGTTTAAGGAAGGACGATCCGTTGGAGTTGAAAAAGTTAATTTTGTCTTTGCAGGAGCGAGCTAATAACGTGCAGTCCAAAGTTCGTGATAAGTAAGTGAATTGGTGAGGACGCCTGCATTAAATTTAATCAGTTTTTTGCCTGCAGAACTTTTTCGTTTCTCTTATTACATGCTATTGTACTCATTAGTGCAAGTTAACTGTAAAGACACGTTTAAATTGCCTGATTGCACAAGAATTTTCTAACAAAATTTTCTATAAGTGGATGTGAGGGGTCGCTACCAAACTTACGAGACAATTTTTGAAGGTGGTTTTTGATTTAGAGCAAAAACTCTGAACATCGTTCTGAGACATAAAAGTCAATGCATTGATATGCCTGACAGTTATGCAGCCCAACTTACACACAAATTTGACAGTTTAGACTTAGAGCCTAAACCTTGCTTCACCCTCGGCTTCACTCTCCCCGGTTCCAGGTAGGTGTCTCCAAAGGAGTTGATGTCTGTCTTTGATGAAGGTGTCACAGTGACAGATTATGTATGCTCGGTAGTTTCATTTGCCTCGCCACAGAACTTCCACATGGGCTCCTCTACAAGCCCCAGATTTGCCAAGGGGCGCTGTTAAAAAGCCCACTGAGCCTGGAATTGACTGACCCCCCAGTCTTTAATCTTGGCCCTGACAACGGAGTGAGCAATTCCTAGGGAGAAGCGGACTTCAGCTCTCGGTCGATCACCATGCTCGTTCCCCTTTCTGTTAGGGACCGGTCTGTAAACCACAGGAGTCCCTCAGGTTTGAGGAAGTCACCCCTGGACAGGGAGCAGTGCCCTGTCCAGGGGATGACATTATAACTCTTTGGTCTTATTGGTCTTAGTAAGACAATTCGGATCACCCTTTCTTGCAAGGAGGAAATCGGATCTGAGTGTTTCCTCCCAGATCCGCCCGTGCCCAAGACTGGTTCGATCCTTCCACTCGTCCCAATCGTTTGGAAGCCTTTCGAGCCTTTGCCTCCACAGCTAAGTGTAAAGGCTCTAGCCCCAGAAGTGCCTCAATGGTCAAAGTTGACGTGGTTTTTAGGGTTCCAGTGACTCCCAGACAGGCGATATAGACATTAGATATAGACATAAATGCAAGTCTTAGGCACAGCTTACTTACTATCCAGCTCCGCAACTCTCGAGCGGCGCCTTTGATCTGGCGGTCTACAACCAAGCGAGATGGAATGGTGCCCTCTTTCTCGCGCTTGGGGTAAAAGTCAGGGCCGGATTAAACGAATTTTCATCGCGCGGTCGCTGCACAGTACCGTAGTAGGTGATTTTTGAGCTGTATTGTAATGTGAACGTTTAGAATTTGCTGTACAATATTACGTAATATTGCAATGAAACTAGGGTTGGGTGTTTAATACATTTTATTGCCTAATTGAATTGAATTCGGGACAATGGCCAACGTGGTAACACTGGGCTTGATTGCACGCCAAACAGGCAATGCAGTCTTTTACCCCAAGAGGCGGGGCATAAGCGCTGCGCGCGTAGATCGGCGCAAACCGCTCCCGCCAAGAGAGTTGTGCAGCTGGATAGTAAGTAAGCTGTGTCTTAGGGTTCAGTTGGCAATCCTTCTTATAATAAAGGTAGTCCTCCACCTGGCCCAGATCTCTTACTTGTCCCTGTAAAGTCAAGGTTCTTGTATGAGGCATACGCCTATCTGCTTTACAGCAGGTTGACGGCCTATTAAACAGGCCGCCCCCTTACTGTGCTGCAAATTTCTCTGTAAGAAGGTGACCTTGTCCATCACTGATGTACTACTTTCTCTCCTCTAGCGATTCCGGTATGAGCCAAAAGCTCGCCAAAATCTTTCTCGATCTCAGAGGATGCCAGTAGTAATCCCAACGCCTCTTCGAGATACATAACGCGGGATGGAGCCCCCTCCGTCACAACGGCATTGAGTCCCGCTGCTCCGGTGGAGCTTTTTCCCTTCCCTGGCGCAGCCGGTGCACTCGTTTTCGTCACGAAAGTGACACGCGAGAACCCCGGCGTGTGCCTGAAAGTTCTGTTGTTGGAGTGCCTGATAGGATGCCTAATCGACACCAAATGCGAGGAGGGCCTTGCCAGGCTCCTCTCTGCAGAAGAAACGTCCTCAATAGACAGGATTTTGCTTCTGGAGGCGCTTCAAGTTGGTGGCGGTGTCATCGGCGAACCCGTATGATACGGTCATCACCTTGGTTACCCTAGGGACTTGCCTCTGAACTTTCAGAGACGCGCCATCCCATGACCTAATACGAGGGACGGTCCTCTTGAACCAGTCCAAGGTCCACTGGTCCTCACCACAATGGCACCCTGCAGATTCCAGCCAAGGAATAGGCCCCCCTCCATCCCATCGACAAGTGTATTCAATGCAGCCATAATGCACCTCAACTGAGGCTCAGTGATTTCCATGATGGCCACCCTGAGCCCCGCCGCAGCGACTTGCCCGTAGGTTCATGGTGCACCTGCAACTTTGGGTGCTCCAGAACCTCTAGACTTCTTCTCCAGCTTCCCTGAGTCAGACCCTGGGGTATTCCCTCAGACCTGAGACGCTTGGTCCCTGACATTGGATTGCTCCACTGAACCAACGACCCAGACACAGCCTTGGGCTTTGGCGCAGGGCCCGCTTGACCCGAGGTTTTACTTACGAGCCTGCGCTTCCTGGCCATCGCCTTTTGTGCGCCAGTCCTATTTTTCTTGCGAATAGGAGCTGCCCCATTACCGGACCTCTTTTGAGGGCTCGGCTGATGGTCCCCTCTGACGAGAACCCCAGAAAGGGTTTGTTTGAATATTCGTTCATACAATTCCCACGCGTATTGCGGAAATGCGGTCTAACCTGGACAGAGCCGCTTACCTAGTTTGGCTGCCATTCCCATTCTGAAGGAAAGAGGCCACCACTGGGAGGTCGGCCGGTATCCGAGGGCCACCGTTCATGACACTGCATCCCAGTGGCACGTAATCCTCGGCACGGTCGCTAACACCTTGACTTAGGAGGCTGGCCACGACCTTCGTCGCTACGACGAGCCACTTATAATCGTCACTACCCGCACTGAAGCACGGGTCACTTTGTGATCATTCAGGTGTCCCCCATCTGCCACTCGAGGACGCGCTCGATGGGTGCCTCCACCTCACGGAACAAGCATATGGCATATTGTAAAAAGGCTTTCTTCTTTATAGAGATAATTTTTTGTAATCTTAACCAAAGATTCTTCTAGTAAAGGCAAACATATCGCATATTTTAAACATCAGGTGTGCGCATGCGCTGACTACTCAAGGTTAAGTTTCTTATTCATAAGAATAATTAGTAATACTGCACGGACTTCTAAGTTTTATGATAACTGCGATATTCAGTTTGTATTGGATCTGAACTTTTATGAAAAAATGTTGCTAAGCGATTCATTTTAGATACTATGTGTAATACATAAAGTCACACTAAAATTGACCAAGGAATCGAAGTATATAATAATATACGCACGAGTTTTATTTAAAAACTGCAACTTTGGTATAAATCACCCTGTATAACAATTGCAATTTTGTTGAGCACATTTTTAGGTTGTAGACGAAAGACTCCTTGAAAATGCCCGGACAATGAAGTTTAAATATGTCGGATAATAAACCCACAAAGCCACTTTGAATACCTATGAAACATAAGAGGAATGGTGGATCGTATTATCATTGCATTGATAAATTCAATGGTATTGTTATTGATAATAGCAATGATATGGCACAGCTGATAGCTATATATTACACCACTTTGAGGATATCTTAAAAATAGATTCTGTAGGGGGTAGTTACAAAGCCAGGATGGAAATAATGCCTGCTTGTACTAATAATTCTGATGCTATTTTTTAAATCATATAAAAAAATGGTTACAAAATTATGCCATCGGCTAGCTCAATATAACGAAAATCTTTAGACAAAAACTACCCTTTGTCAGATAAATAAATGTTAATTCTATGTCAAATTCAAATATCCATAATGTACGGAATAATTAAACTTTCTTGAGTTATACTAATGGCAATGGTTACTATCTCATGGGCTAGCAATTTCCAAGCTTAAAAATAAAAATAAACCAAGCTTAAGAATTCTTGTCATCTGTTAATGAATTTCATCAAAAATTCTAACTGGAGGCACACATATACAATTTAATTCCTTTTTATTTCTCTAAACCGATCCAAGCAAATCACACAATCCTTATTATTTAATGGAAATAAAAAATTCAAATTTCCAACACCCTTAAAGGAATTGATCGTTCACTCCTAATGTACTGATTGATCCAAATGAGGACAGTCGATACAAATTCCTATAATGAACGGCTCCTTTGATTTTAACCGTCAAATACGATCACTCAAAATTTGATTTTAACGGTAAGTGTCAATGTCGTATACAATAGTATATTGAAAGACAAGTGTTACAATGCGACCTATTGTAATACGACTATCTTGTGGCACGAGTGGCGACGCGAAGCGTAGCCACGAGTGTCCGCAAAATAGGAGTATTACAATAAAGCATTGTAACACGCGTTTTTCATACTATTTTTTCTATTTCGGTGCTTTAATTTAATTAAAAAAATCATTATCAGAAACTATAGGGAAGATTAGAACTAACATGTTTTATGTTGGGAACACTTTTTATGCCGTTAAGTTTTAGGTTGGCAGCGTAGTAAGACTGACATTTTGAAGTTCAAACATGGAAGTACCCAACGAAGTACCTACTTGTACTAACTAGTAACTGCCAACTTAAGAGATGAGTTACCAAAAAAAAACGACTATAATCACGGTCTTTGTGCAACTGTTTTCGGCCGAAAACAGTTGTACAAAATCATCATTGTAACACCGAAATAGAAAAAAAATATTTGCGCACAATCCACCACTTCAGACGTACGAAGAATTACAACATTAACATTAAACATTAGAAATTTTCATTTCACAATGTAATTTTATTTAAGGTCACGTAGTGGATGGAAACTTCCACCATTGTTCGTATTTAACGTAATAGTTTCTAAGGCGTATATAATCCTTTGAAAAGGAGGCTCAATAGAAACTTTGATTCGCGTTTAAAACTTGACTCGTTTGTCCGTATTCGTAACAATGTTTCCTCCTGAATTTTGGAAAATCCAAATGGAATAAATTTTTTATTTCGATGACTGTACACACCTATTTATAGAAAATCTCGTGCTGTTTAATGATGGTATAATTACTTTCATGATTGTAATTTAGCAATTCAATTTTCCGCATAATTTGTAATTTATGATTGACCTTGTACAAGAAACCCACTCACTTAAATTTAATTAAAGATAGCGCCTGATTTTTTAGCGCAAGAGTAAAATTCATGCTCGACATACTGCTGGCAATAAAAAATAATAACATGTCCAAAATCCCGAACTACGATACATCCTATGCGGATCACCTAAAGAAACTGTTGAAGAGTTTCGTTCGCAAGGGCAGTTACGTTACAACGTTAAACATATCGTTAGAAGATCTGCTAAAAGGTGAGGTTCTCGTCGCTCACTCGCATACGTGTATTATTCTCAAATTCAATAGCGGACCAATACGGAAAGTGGTGGGTGGTTGGATCCGCTTGGTCTGGAAAAACGGAAGACAAGAAGGAGGCGGTCGTAAAGCAGAAGGGCTATTCGCGACAACTTCTCGATTTGGCGCGAAAGCAACGAATGAATACGGACGCGAGACGCAATATATTCTGCATCATAATGTCGGCGGAGGTAAATATTTTGGTTTTAATTACACGCTCGATTATACGTTCCTAATTTTTCAATCGCAATTGTAGTATCGGTTTTGAGCTGATGCTGGTAAGTCATCGAGTACTTGAGATTGCGTTCTGAGTAATCATCCTATTTAAAATGATTCACTATTTCAGGATTATCTCGAGGCCTTTGAGCAGCTTTTACACTTGGGATTGAAGAACCAACAGGAAAGGGAAATAATACATGTAATCCTCCACTGCTGTTTACAAGAGAAAGCGTTTAACCCCTACTACGCGTTGCTAGCACAGAAATTTTGCGAGTATGAAAGAAAATTTCAGGTAACCACCCATTTAGCGCCCACTCCAGGGTACATCCTCTTCTTTTTAAGATGACAATAAAGTATTCGATTTGGGACAAATTGAAAGCGTTAACCGAATGCTCGGCGTCTCAACTGTCCAATTTAGCCAAATTACTGACGCATCTATTTCTGGAGCGGGGTCTGGCGATATCGACGTTGAAGGTAACTTTTTTTTACAGTCGATTGTTCATGGGACAATGTCTTTCTTAGGTTGTACAGTTTAGTGAGCTAGATAAGATTACCCTTCGATTTATACGGCAAATATTGATCGGTGTTCTACTTTGCGAAGAGGAAGACACCTGCAAGGACGTTTTTAGAAACGTCGCCCAGTCAGAAAAATTGAAATTGTTTCGGGAAAGTTTGAAACTATTCATCCAACATTTTTTGGTTAGGAACTTGAAGTCGGATTCCATTCCTGAAAAGCAAAAATCATTGCTACGTGACAGAGCAGGAATCGTTAACGGTATCTTAAGTAGTAGTGCTGATAAAAAATTAATTTTTTGATATTAAGTTTAAGCAAACACTTATCAGTGATATAAAGATAAGAGTGTGTGTATATAAGACGTGTAGTTGTCTACAAAGACAATTATTGCAAATTGCCAAAATGAAGGTAATTCTATTGATTGGTGCTATCATTGCCATGTTGATGGTCTCAATAATTAACGCGGACGAAGATACTTGCGCGTGCCCAAGAAACTTGGAACCGATTTGTGCATCGAACGGCAGAACATACAACAACATGTGCGAATACAAGTGTGTGGAGAAGAAGTACAATTTGAAGATTACAAAACGTTCAGCGTGCCACCCAGAGGACTATGCCTAAACGTTAGTGACGCTGCAGCAATTTTCAATGGCGATGTAAATAATTATTAATTTATGTTTCTTTGTTTTGTACAAATAATAACTTAGACATAATGTAACCTCAACCGTGTCTGTGTCACAGCTCGATCAATTGTACTTTGATGATTGTTTGCATTGGTATCAAATTTTAAGCACCAAATTGTTCAAATAAAAACTATTTTTTTATTTGCCGACTCTGTAAATTGTGACAAAGTGTCAACCTACTTCAGGAGGCTGTTTAATGAAATACCTACTATTGATGAAGAAAGTTCGTTTGTAGAATCGTAGAAAAACAACAATTGTAGAAATCTGAGCTGCTGGATAATAATTTAAATCTCGTTTTGTTTACTCTTCACTTGAACTTCGCTACTTTCCATATCACTGTCTTTACTTCCTCAACAAATTTGCACTTGGTATATTTCTGAACATTCAATTTACGTATGTACTACCGCCATCGGAAGTAATGATTTGCAGTTGTATAGGCAAGTAACGATAACAGCTTAAAATTTCAAAGGCTGTATTGTACAGTACAATTAATTGCAGCAGGAAGTTGCATGAAAAATTGCTTTGTGTATTATTAAAATTGTGTATGGCAAGTATTGAGAAATTCCAGCTGGTGTAATGAGAGTAGAAAAACGAGAAATAGCAGAGCGCTCAAGGTAAGATTTCAATCTACCTACTGCGATCATACAAATTAAAAAAAAATAGGTTTGCGATTTATTTTAAAAATGAAAGGCAGTTCCGATTGCACCTAAAGCTCATAGGGTGATGAACTTAGTACCCAAAGAGGAAAACAAATGGCATAGATGAGTTACTATCAAGGACTACTCAATTGTAATAAATTTCTTCCTTTAAAAAGGCGTGCATATTTGTATGGTTGTTATACATATCTATTTGCACCCATCCCAATTGATCAGTTATTATCATATATTTTAAAGAAAACCAGAAAATTCCCTTTTTAATTCTAAAAATATGCCAGAAAAACCGATATTTGCCGATTTGGATTTTATTTTTTTCTGTTGCTATTTATTTGCAGAGATACAAAAAATAACAAACATTTTCTCATTGCCACTATTTGAGCTCTACAAAGACACCGTTGAGAGACGTTCAATAAAACGTATCGTTTCGGAGAAATCATCACCAACTTTATTTTTTATATGGACTGTAAAAAACGTACATACTTACTGTATTTGAACAACATTTTTTATTACGAATTCAACGATGTATATCACACACAAGAAAAACGAATATTGGTTTCAACAGGATGGTGCACCCGCGCACAACGCTCTAACTTCTTCATTTTCCAGGAAATTTGTCCGATTGGTATTCTCGCATGATTAGAGCGTTGGAGAACATACAGGCTACTACTTTATTAGTTCTTATTAACGCCACATTGGATTTTTACGGAATGAGATAGTGATAAGAGGATAAAGAATAAATGGATTTGAATGCCGTCATAGCCATGTTGATTCAGCAAGATCTAGGTACCCGTGGATGATTTGTTGAGAAATGAATGTGAAACATTTGATTTTCTATAAATTTATGTAAAGGTATGGTGTGGCATTATTTTTCTCTTTTTATCCTCCATCTCATTCCGTAAAGATCCAAAATGGCACCCATAATAAAGTAGTAGCCTGTACATCTAGCGAACAACGAGAGAACAAAAAGAGGCAACTTGAGAGGTTCCACCCTGTATATACAACTTACGATGATATATAAATTTTTGAAAGTTGGCAACCATGCAATTTCTAGGTGGGGAAAAAGCTGCCTGCGCCATCTAAAAAGCAGGAACTGGGGTTACGTGGATCATCTTGTCTTGAATGGCGGTCGTGAACGCGTCGCTCCATAAATGTTTGTTGTTATTTTGTGTTATTTAATGCAGGTAGTAATTTTTGCATTTCTTTATATCGTATTTGTGTATTGTATGCCACAGTTTATATTTTTTGTGTGTTTCAATCTTTGATTTTGAAATTTACTTGATTTAACCGCAATGCAGAATGACATGTTAAATACCGCTATGCTCTTGTTTACGTTTTTGGTGTAATACTTGCTTAATTTATGTTTATTGATGTTGATTACTTGGTCTTGTCCTTCAAGTAACATTCATATAAGTCCAAATCATTTTATTTTATTATGTGGAAATTAGCGATTCGTTTGATGTAGGTATGTATACTGACTTGTTGTTTGTAACTAACAATTTTCTCCGTGAATGAAGCAGTCACAGGGGTGAAAAAAACTGTAGTCAAAATTGAGTTACGACACCTAATTCCGTGATTGTCTTCGACATTCAACTGTAGGCTCGAAACCCCGAACGAGGGGCGACGCTACCTATCTTGCAGGGGCGAGATTATGCTAATCAAAACTCTTCACTTTAGAATCTATGTGCGATAAATGAATGGAGATTCAATAATGGTTTTTTTGGTAGGTTCTTTTTTCCCCAGCCTATTTCTATTTTGATCCAGTGAACTACCATTTTCAAAAGTTTATTTTTGCAATGTAATTTATTTCGACTTAAATTTCCGAGCTTTCACAATCTTAATAATTTGCAATTATTATTAAACAAACTTTTCACAATTTGAGTGTTTTATTTTAACGTTCCTTCCCTACTGTGCTTCAGGTCAAAGCGTTGTTGACAACTAACATAAGGGGGCCCTGCCTTAGATGTCTTAGCACTTGCCACTTTTCAAATTTAAGCGGGATCTTGTTTAGTTTTGGGGGTGGGGGATAGTCATTCGGGTGGCCGTTTTTAAACGTTGCCGGGTTGACTTTATTTCCGTGTTCCTGTAGTGTGAAGTTAGTGTAGAACCTGGGGGTTAAGTAGGTACACTACAAACTTTTGCTCCCACTTAACCTACACTGTATCTGTCACCATTACGAAGAGCCCAGTTGTGAGCCACGAATTTGAACCACCTTGTATAGGTGGTTGTGCCTTTGAATTATTTTATGAAGTATTTTTGTGACGATACCCTGTATGAGTCGACGACTAACCATTTATTCCGTGGAGGAAGTACCTCACACAGTTCCAATTCTTTGCTGTAGCATGTTACTTCCTCGCCTCTTGCGGACTGCGGTTGTCTTGTCTTGGCTATACATATAAATATTACAGTTTTCACCTGTACTTTTCCGTGTTTAATTAGATGATGCCAGAACACAGCTATACTATTTTGATGTTGTTTTATGTTCATTTATCATTTTAAATTTAACTCTGTGATGTGTTTTTTGTATCACATTGATTTATCTTGTTTTCCATACCCCTACGATTAGGCAACACACCTCGCATAACTGAAAGAATCGCAGTATGGGAAAAATACGAAACGCTCACCATATAAAGAAATCGTCATGCGCACAGCGCAGGTGGCGAAGAACAGGGAATTTACACAATGAAGCGTGGGGAAAAAGCCAGCCTCTATTAACGGGATTCAAATAGGAGCCGAACTTGAGTAATGGCAGGTCTTGAGTTTATTTTGTTTGCTGTATTTTGAAAAGTGTATTTACTAGTAGTAACAATTATACGCCTTTATATTGTACTTACCTACTTTTTCAAATATATAATATTATATTTATGAATTTAACAAAAGGTTACAACATTAACACATATTGCAAATAAAATTAAAAACATTAAAAAAAAAAGAAATTTACCGCATACTTAATATATAAAAAATTTCAGTCTGTAGCGGTAGAGTGCCTAAAATACAAGCCGCATTTCCCTGCGGAACAGCTAAACTGAATCTTTGTTTTAAATATTCAAAACAACGTTTTTCTTATGTTTTTTTTAAAAATTTTTTTACTAGGTAATTTCTTTTTTTGCAGATGGACCCCAAGCGCCAAGTGTTTCTATACCGAAAGGGTAGAAAATAAAACGGTCTATAGCACGTTCGCACCTCCAGATTCAGTATGGGATCTTACGGACTAATTGCCTCTCTTACTAGTCTGCGTCATTCTTCGCTAATACTATCCTTGTTTTTAACCGCATTGATGTCAAATTGACATTTGATTAAATGGAAGTATTAATAGTTATTTATGTATTAAGGGCACAATAGTGATGTTTATATTCGCGAGGGCGACAAGACGAGTTAAACTTTTTAGTCACCCGAGAGTATAAATACGTTGAAGTACAATAAGTCAAACAGGCCGTATTTTGTTCTGTCATTGAGATATTTTCAAAGAGTAATTTCGTTCGAATTTTTCAAAATATGATAATTTTAGGTATATAATTTCTCTGGAAATGGCGGACGGTGGCAATTATTAAGGATCCTCAGATCCTTTATAGTTTTGTATTGTCGTCCGTCCGTCCGTGTGCGCTCTAACTCTTTTTAAAAGTGGCCGATTGTGTTGAAATTTGGTATACGGGTACGTTGGACATTAAGAACGGACGCTATTTTCAGGAAGCTGGTTCAACAGGAACAAAAGTTATACGACTTCGAGTGAATCGGGAACAGGAAAAACTGCGAACTCAATAATAAAAATTAACATATTTCATTCCCTAGGTCATGTATCGAGTTCGGACTTTCGCTAGATTATTCCCTATGACTCTTAGATGTGTAACAATTCAATATAACTCTTCTCTGTGGTCTCGGTCAAAAATTTTAGAGCAAAATGTACCCAGAATTATTCTTTACACATGAATTTAGAGTTGTAAAAGCTTTCAAACGCATTATCTTGATGCTGAAAGAGTTGATAACGTGCACGTTTGATAACCGCATGTGTGTGATTCAAAAATGTTAAATTATTTTTCTGAGGCCACATGGATTTTGATCAAAATATGTCAAAATCGTTAATTATGCACCAAGATCGTTGGGAAAAGACTAGGCGCATTATCTCAATGCCCAAGACATGAATTTGATGCATTTTGGCGACCACGTGGATTTTGATCAAAACATGTCAAAATCGTTATTTATGCACCAAGAGCGTTGGGAAAAAGACTACGCGCATTATCTCAATGCCCAAGACATAAATTTGATGCATTTTTGGCGACCACGTGGATTTTGATCAAAACATGTCAAAATCGTTATTTATGCACCAGGATCGTTGAGAAAAGACTAGGCGCATTATCTCAATGCCCAAGACATGAATTTGATGCATTTTTGGCGACCACGTGGATTTTGATCAAAACATGTCAAAATCGTTATTTATGCACCAAGAGCGTGGGGAAAAAGACTAAGCGCATTATCTCAATGCCCAAGACATGAATTTGATGCATTTTTGGCGACCACGTGGATTTTGATCAAAACATGTCAAAATCGTTATTTATGCACCAAGATCATTGGGAAAAAGACTAGGCGCATTATCTCAATGCCCAAGACATGAATTTGATGATTTATTGGCGAAAACGTGGATTTTGATCAAAACATGTCAAAATCGTTATTTATGCACCAAGATCGTTGGGAAAAAGATCAAGAGCATTATCTCAATGATCTAAACATGAATTTGATCTATTTTTATGAACCACATGGATTTTGATCAAAACATGTCAAAATCGTTATTTATGCACCAAGATCGTTGGGAAAAAAACCAAGAGCATTATCTCAAAGCCCAAGACATGAATGGGATGCATTTTTGTTAACTATAAAATGTATTTTGTAAGATTAAAATAAATTGTCGTTAAAAGTGATTGTAATACTGAGGATCCTTCGATATTTCGTTGTATCGGTTTATTCATTTTAGAGAACTTGTCTAACGTTTATTGAGCGAAATTTCGGGTTGTGTTTTCTAAAACTGACAATGTGACAGTTCTCATTATTGACTACTAGTTAATAATGTCCACATTATTAACCACTTTGAACAAATGCCTAGAAAGCCTAGGTACTTTACAAGTGGAAAAAAGGTTAATAATCATGTCATCAGACGCTAGTAGTGAAAAATAGTACATTATATATCAAGGTAGAGAAGTACAGTATTATTGCCTGAGCACCAAGATTACATCACGAGGCGCTTGCGCCGAGGGGTGTAAGGTGCGAAGGCAATAATAGACTTCTCTACCGTGGTATATATACTATTTTTTCACTACTAGCACTTGAAGTCCTCTAAATTAACATATTATATTGATAAGAAAATGAACGGTTGGACAGAATTTTTTGTTTCTTAATTTAACATGTCAATCAAGTACGTAGAAGTCAAACAGGCCGTATTTTGTTCTGTCATTGAAATATTTTCAAAGAGTAATTTCGTTTAAATTTTTTCAAAATGTGATAATTTTAGGTATGTAATTTTTCTAGAAATGGCGGATGGTGGCAATTATTCATTTTAGAGAACTTGTCCAAACGTTTATTCAGCGAAATTTGTGGTTGTGTTTTTTAAAAGTGACAGTGTGACAGTTCTCATTATTGACTACTAGCATTGAATAAAAACACTATAAGAAGCCTAACCCCGTGGAAATAAAGCGCGACAGAGCTTGAACTGAGAATATAATGGGAACACTGTCAATAGAGTCGATTCTTGAACTGAGAAGAATGAGAATTTGCTTTCCTCCTATTTACCGCAAAGAGAGTTCGGTGGTCACAACCAATGCGGGTGCAAGTGGATTTGTCGCGCTTTCTTCCATAAGCGTTAGGCTTCTTATAGTGTTTTTATTCAATGCTACTAGTTAATAATGTCCACATTATTAACCACTTTCAACAAATGCCGAAAAAGCCTACTTTACAAGTGGAAAAAAGGTTAATAATCATGTCATCCGACGCTAGTAGTGAAAAAAATATGTTATATTTGTTGAGTTGGTAGAAATTAGTCTGGCAGCTCTGAATAACAGTGAGATTTTGATTTTTGACTTTTAAAATTTGTGCAAATTTTGCAACTCTAGACGTAATTCAAAAGGCAAGATTTTGTTGACCATCAATTCGATAAAAGGATTAGTCATGGATGACAAGGAATGAAAGCGGAGATGACGTGTACTTTCCAGGAGGTGTGGCATGCTGTGATGCTTCTAGAACCTTTTCGTTTGCTATATAAGCAGATTGTGTTGTGTTTAATCGAAGTTTCAATATCAATGCCGAAGTGAAAAATAGTGAAATTCGCGTTCGTGTTAGAAAGTTTGTTATTTACTTTGGAGTACCTTTAGATCTACTTTGGATAGTATTCTTGTTGTGCATGTTTATTCCTGGATTTTACTTTTCTCAATTTTTGTTTACTGGACTTGACTTACAGACTTTTTTACTTGTTATTTTTTTAGTTGCACGTGCAGGTTGGAGTTAAACTACTAGGCTTTGGAATCCGCCAAACGGCGAGCCAATCTGCTTAGTGTGGTGGTCGATGTTTTTCTTTTATTTTATTGTTGATGTGTGTAAATTATTTGAAGATGTTAGACTTCGGCCTTATTTGCATTTGCAAATCAATAGAAAGAATTTAGTTATTTGTGCATCGTAAGGTATTTTTTTTTAATTTAACGTCACGTCTATATGCTTTTATACACGATTGTAAGGATAATCCGTGGTCGATCAAAATTTTGCTGTTGCTAGTGCAAAGTCATTCGAATTCTTTTTTAATATTAATTACGAGTTTTTGTATCCGATTTCCTTCGTGTCAAACGTCAGACTTACGCAATATTTTATGTTCCGCGCTATTCACCGCCCCTTTTATTTGTTTCTTATTTTTTTCTTTCCAATACCAACAAATAAGTGATATTTTCGTTTGCTTTTGTTTTCTATTAGAACAAACTAAGGTAGGTCGATTAAACAAAGATTTTTCTAATTTTCTCGAAAAGGAATCGACCGATTTTAAAAAATCAAACGTCAAAATAAAGGACTTCGAAAGACCTTTCAAACAAGCTATTACTCGATACAATTTGTCATTTAAAATTTTTAAGGGAATGATGCCTGGGGGGCAGAGGGTGAAAAGGAGTGAAGTAGTTTATTGTTTGATTGTACGATGCACGTATATGTGGTATTGGTTTAAAATAAAAATTCTCGTTCAAAACGACGGCGCAGAGAAGATCGTTTTAAATCTGCAGAAGCTGAAGAATTTACTGCCTCCAACTCGTACAAAGCATGTTACGCCACTGGTTAGTGTTACACAACGCGGGCATTTAATTTGATATAAATATTGAGGTTTGCGTAAAATTACCTTGAACTGCGTACAAACGTAACGATTTGACAAACGTGATGTTGGGTAAAATAAAAGTTTGACATGTGTTTAAATTACCGTTGACAATGAGAATACTTATTTCATTAAACATGCCCAAATTACTATGGTCGTTTAACTGGCGCCATCTTAGCCATCGGAACTCAAGTATGTTTTCCGCCGAGAATATTTTAAATGAAGAAAATTTGAAGAAGGTCGCCTCAAAGTTCGCGAACATGCCCACAATTCGTTTGCAGACTCACGAGCCGAGCAAAAGGGCAGCCGTACTGATTCCGCTTTGTGTCGTCGACGACAAGGTGTCGCTGCTGTACACCTTAAGGGCGGCAAATTTGAAATCGCACCGCGCGCAGGTTAGCTTTCCCGGTGGAATGTTCGACGACAAGGACAAGTGTCTGGAGCACACCGCCACGCGAGAAACGGAAGAGGAATTGGGAATAGGCGAGGAGGACATACGCGTTTGGGGGAGAGGTAAATTAATTGTGACGGCGACCGACAAGTGCGTGTTGCCGATTATGGGACAAATTTTAACGGATTTCACATGCAAATCGTTGAAGATCAACAAGAATGAGGTCGAAGAGGTTTTCACTGTGCCACTGGAGGATTTGTGTGATCCGAAATTTTTGCGACATACGCAGTTTCGTGGAGGATATTCAATGCCGGTGTTCCTAGCGGGTGCTCATAGGATATGGGGTTTGACCGCATTGATTACGCATCAATTTTTAAAATCTTTAGCTTTAATTGTAACTTATAATAACATTGTGCCAATGATACCATATGTACGAAACAGTAGTAGTAAAAAATATAATAGCTAATTTTCATTGAACGCTTTTGTATCAACCTAATTCAGATATACCTATGTCTTCGAGATCGGTACCAGTGGCGTACCAAAAAAGCGGGCCATGCTGGCAATTGCCATTGCTGTAATTTAACAGACCTAGTCCTCTCAAAAATGGCGTAACACCCTGTAAAAAAATCGGCAACGCAGTCATTTTATTTGTAAACTTTTTGTAATGGGTGTTGTAAAATTCCCACATTAGATGCCGCCTCCTCTGACGGCCAATCTGAGTCCCCGCTCATTGAATTTGAAATCCCTTATCTTATATCCCCACTTATTTGAGCTAAAAATACTGAATTTGTATTTCACGGTAGGTCATTTCCCGAAGTTACTCTCAACCCGACAGCTCTTAGAGGTAAAACACAAGTACCACAGCCATTGTGTGGCTTATACAAAATGTGGGTTTATGGGTTACGGAGGGATGAAGTTTTGGACTTCTCCAGGTTTCCGTCAAGACCAACGAACTAACAGCGAAATCTAAAAATGACCGACTAGGAAATTACTGACAAGGGTCCCAGTACGAAGGTGTTTGGTGCCATAGCAGAAGCGTATACTAAAACTATTTTCAAAGATATTAGAGAGCTGCGTGAATGAAGAAGCTCATCGTACTGTATATGCAGCAACAATAACTAGCACATCACCTGAAAGGTCTCTGATTGGGGTTTGACACAAAACTGCCGTCCGCATGAACAAATACAACGAAGAATCGGAATTGTGTGAGGTACTCTCTTCAAGCAATAAACTATAAGTTGACACAGATAGAGCAATATCACACTGATAATATAGTCCCACTTGAATACATAAATAAAATAAGACAAAGGCATAACCTGCACCTGTACAGTATAACAAACAACCATGATTCAGTAACGGTAGTAAAAACAAAAGCTTGGAGCACGTCATGCTTCAATAAATAAATATCAGCATTTTAATGCAAAATGTAAATGACAACAAATTGTGACCCGAAATTGAAACACTGATACAATAAAATGACATGTATAGTGTTAATTACACTAAGTATACAAATAGAACAATCAAAATAAACATTTAGAGAAAGCCAGCACGCCCTTATGGCAGAATATTATTATTATGGTCATTCCGTTACCGACGCATCTGCGCAACAATGTACGGTGTATTGCCTAACCGTAGGGGTAAGTCACCATAACAGAACAATATTCTAACTTCAGTCATTGATTATATAGGTACAATCAATGGCTTCACTTTATCTTTCTTTTGATAGCAAAGATCTGAGAAAATTCTTCACCTCCTAGGAAGATATTCAATCAATACTTTGCTGCAAGGCAAATAGCCCATACCAGCACATCTACCACGCAGTACAAGAATTTCATTAGTATTTAAAGAAAAGTGGAATATTGCATGTATAGAGATGCACCAATCTGCTGATGTCGACACCCACAATCAAGAACCTCGAATCTGTAGACACAATTGCGAAACTATATAGTTAAAGGGACAAATGCTGAAATACAAGTTTGAATACAGACAGCACCAGAAGCCAAATCTTGGTCGGGACATCTACTCAAATCTATAGTGTAAAGTAGAATAGAGGCTGAAATCAGTTGATGAGTAATTGTACAGATTTCTTCTCTTGGGGTACCACAGTGCACTATTGCAGGGCCGCTTTTGTTGTATTTCACCTTCACTCTTCTATTTACTAATGGCAACAAAATATGTTTACAGAACTTTTTAGTTTATTTAAATGTAGAAATACATAACATAAATTTAAGTCTGTACAAGTTGACCTTTAACGTTTCATGTCAATGATTTTGCACAATACATGGAGTTTTAGGTAATCGAAAAAATAAAATATACTTATTTAAGTCGCCTTATAATACGAAAATTAAAATAGAAAAATAAAGCATAAAATAAAAGGTCAACAAGCAGGTAAATTTCTTGCATAATATAATATAAACAAAACCAATGCTTGAAGACCGGCTCCAATTTTCAAACGTCTCAAATTAACAATTTATATACTTTTCTGCAACCATACATATATAAAAAAAACATCAATTATGTTAGCAGTTAGTAATGTAGTATCCTTAATGAAGTACAAAAATTGGTTCATTGTATTTCGTAATGCTAAAGTCTACCGTCTTAGATCTTCAGGCACATCCAGTCTGTTCGTTACTATCAAAAGCCATCAGGAAATAAAATGAAACCGAGGATTAAGTTAACAAGTTACTGACTAACGTTGACGGGAATAGACGTAGTGAACGTGGGCGTTTCTAACTCTTCGTGTTTCTTCATCTTTAAGGCTTGCTGTAATTTGTAATGGTTGATGATGTCCTGATCCGCCGGACAGCTTTGGGTGAACGCGTCCAATTGGTACATGTTGTACATGTAGCGCCAAAGCGAAGTAAGTTCGGTCGGTATGTCGAAGTCGACGAAATACTTTGCGGCGACGCGAATGTGCTGCAGACGTGGCATCAGTTCGCAGTCGAAGCAGCAGATCGTATCGCCGGTCAAAAATCGGGTGTCTCTTCGTCGTAAATGTTCGTCGATTCTTCGCAAGTGTCCTAGAAGTTGTGCGCTCTTTTGCTCGTCTTTTTTTACTAATACTAGCTTCAGTTTACTGTACAAATTTTCAATCAGTGTAGCCACTTCTTTATCCTGCAAACAAAATTGAAAATTAATACAGGCATGTTATTTTATTGTCAAAGTGGTCTGTTTTGATTTGTCAAAAATTTTAGAAAAAACCTTCGAATAAAGAAGATTAATTAAATGAGCGATGATAAAGACCCTGTTTAGAAAATTTTGAATCTAATTCCTGTGCATCAAGTCAATATGTTTTGCCGTTTCCTCGACAAGATTGGTGAATAACCGAAGATTTTGCCTAAATTTGGGCGTCATTTCATAATTGTTTCTTCTTCGATAAAAACACAATCTCAAATGTTTGTACATGGGTTAATTTTCAGAATATTGTAAAATTGAATGGTTACCGACACAATGTTATAGTTGCAATAGTAATCATAATAATACCAACAATGATATGAGTATCAGTACTGTCATGACACCCCGGGAAATATTCTTTAACACAGAGACTCCTTAAAGTATTTCTCGAAGAACTCCTAAGAATATTAAAAAGAAAGCTTTTCAAAAAGGCTCTTGAAACGCTAACAATATTTCAAAGATGCAAATGGTTTTCAAGATTACTGAGATTTCAAAGACTTCAAAAAACCTTCCCAAATAGATTCTCATGGTGTTAAATAATAAGAAGTGTATTTATCTGTCTGTCTATCTCTTGTATAAGTACATGAATCCAAGGATTATTAACTAGAATTTTTGTTTAAATTTAACTTGTTTCTATCGATCGCTTGTGCATGGTATTTGATCGTTGTCCCTGACCGCCTATTTTTCTTTCAGCTTTATTGATTGATTTATGTCGTATACATTTGTTTGATCTGTAAATGCTTAGCTGTGTCTTTAATCGAGCCCAAATTACGACATCCTATGTCAAATTTTCTATTCCTGCCCAGGATTATGCAATGAGCTCAATTAAGCTAGCTAGCTGGACAAGTGTTTAATGTGGGTTTGGTGACCGTTTACCATTGCACATAGCAATATATTAAACGGATATATGTATAAGCATACAAGGTGTCCCAAAGAAAAGTTCAGTATTCAATTGTAACAAATTTTTATAGATATACAGGGTGTTCCATACTATGTTGTTTTGTTTTTGATTACAGATTTGGCTTCAGTAGAAAAAATATAAAATTTTGATCTTCCTACCTGTACAACTAGGAAAGTTAGCGATAGTGGCTACTTAATTTGAAACAGGCTATACCTATATACAGGGTATTCCTAAATATGATGTGAATACGCTAAATCTTTGCCATACTTTATTCCTTAAAGTTCACATTAACATAGGCCCACAAACGCTTCGTTACCGATCTACATGGTGTTACAGTTCTACCCTACACAAGACACAATTTTCAATGCCAACTGTCAAAAGTAATAAAAACAATTTATTACCCAAATAAGGCCAGGACCATTTTAAAAATTATATTTTCATTTGGCCAACTACGGAAAATTCAGTTTTTTCGCGATAACGGTTCAATTCTTGTTTTACAGTCTAGCAGTGGCGCTCGAAAAAAAAAGTCAGGTATCAAATTTTAACATGACCCCCTGAAAAAACAACACCCTGTAGATTCTCACTACCATTAACCTGACCAATGATTTAAGGCCCTAAGCGAAACTTATATTTCAAATTTGAGCGAAATATCTCAAAAACTACAGAATAGTACGGTAAAACCACTGTAACCTTAGAAAAAGTATGCTTTGCGCAGCTAATATAGAAGGCATGGGAAGAGATTGTACACTACCAGTAAGAAGTAGTTCGTTTTTAGCCTCAGTGCGCTATTGATTATTGCTCAGTTTAATGTTAAGTTAAATGACTATTGTAGAATTGAGTAATGTGTTGTTAACTAGTAATAAATAATCGATAACTTTCTTAATTATATTGACATTAATACCGTGAGTAATGAGCAAATACTACTTCTGTTCTGTTTGTAGTTTTCTGTTCCGAATGTACATTATAGGCGAACCTGGTAAGAAACGCCGATCAAGTGCGGACGAATCCGAACACGCATGTGCAAATTTTCTAAGGTTACGATGGTTTTACTGTAATGATCTTGAAATTGTAACACTCTGTAGATCGTAACTAAGCGTTTGGGGACCTATGTTTATATGAACTTTGGTCATAAAATAAGCCAAAGAATTATCTCCTTCTGTATTTACATCACATTTAGGAACAGCTCCTAAAAATGCTTAAAATATTCTTTGTAAGCGCTTTCTAGAAGAATGTAAAGGTAGGGTGGGGGGGGGGGGGGAAGTCGCAGGCAGATTTTCGAGAAAGGTTCAAGATATATTTCTTCAAAGATTTCTAAGGTTGCCACGTAAAAATTTGAGGATTTTTCCAGAAATATACAGGGTGTTTTTAATGTTATTTTGAAAGTATGGGAAAGGCCCCAAAGTGTCACAGAAACATGGGCCTCTCGCTACCTTTCATTTTTTTATCAAGCTCAGATGTGAAATAGAGTTTTTAAAAAAGCACTGACCTAAAATTATCAATTGTAGGAAAAAAGAACTGTACAAACACTACATAGGAAGCTAAATATTAGAGCTATTCCGGAAGCACTGAGTTGTGAATGTACTAGTCAGTAGAAATATTCTCATAAAGAATCATTTTACTAGTACCTCAGGAAACGTGTTTGTGTCATTTTAACCCCAATTTCTAAAACTTATTATAATCAAATATTAGAAAACAATTTGTAAAGTACAGTACAATGTTGATAATCTGACATATATAGGATCACGCAACAGCGGGATGATCAAAGCATCCGGATTATCGAGAGTAATAGACTAAAAGGCCAATTTTACTATGAATGTAATGTAAATGGTTACATACTATACAATGAAATACAAAATATTGTTGCGGCTTTTTGGATATTTCGGTTTAAGCACCTAAAATAATGACGGGACACCCTGTGTACGAGAAGTATTTCAATTACAGTAAATCTGGAGAGAAATTCGAATAAACACACATAAACAATTGGTTTATTTCATTTGAATTTGTATTTCCGTACTTGTTTTTCCATTTTAGAATTGTAGAATTAATGATTATTTTCCTAGTATGTAAAATTACGTATTTGCGTATATGCGGTCAACTACACCACCCACAAAGCACCTGTCCAACTAGGTCAAACTTTAAATTAAGAATAATTTCTCCTCATATACATCAGGCATATGCTACAAAGAAAAATCCCAATATTGACTGAAATTTTTAATTTCAGACGTATACTCTTTACCAACCGTCGCGAACCATCGTCATTTTTTTTGCTTCTCATGTATTTCAGGGAACGCCACTTCCATCATAGAATAATCTTTGTACTCCGGTATTTACAAATAATGCGCCAATTACAATTAGACGCCGCCTGCGAGGGAACGCTGAAAATAATGCGCATATCGTTGGCCACCTGCACAACCCGTTATCTCCTCTAACAGCGACAATTCATTACAGTTTTGCTTGTTGTGCATTTACGTATAGATTTAATTACGAAAAAAAGCAGAAGTGGGATTTAGACATTTTTATCTAAGATGTTCCAAAATTGCTATTTACAAATTGCAGGAAACATCAAAATTGCACGATTATATCGCTGGAAAACAGTCAAGTTGATCCAGCGCTACAAAAAAACTTTCCGCCCCTGTTCAAATCTCAATTTAGCGGGATAACAGTAAAAGCGGGCAATTTGGCGGCATTATTAAATTAAATATACAGGATGTTTTGTACAGAGAGGAAATGATCTGAACAAAAGGCGTTTAGTCCGATGAAAAACTTCGACTGCGGACGGCCTTAATAGGCAATAAGGATTAAATTGAAAGGCTCATTAAGTACTTAATCTGTTTTGAAACCTAACAATAGGTGTCACTAAATTAACGGTCATTGTGTTGATGATTCGTGGACGAGAACACGTCAACGAACGTGATTTGCATATGGCGTTTTGTATAAAAATGAAAGTGGTATTCTTGTGGCAGTCACCGATTTTGATATTCTCTAGTATTCCTCTGCAGCTGTTCGTTATTCTTTCCTACAATTTTACATACTTTACTGATGTAGGTGTCTAAAAGCGAAGATACTTTGGAAATGTGCTTCACTGGGAACCGTACCATTGCCTCATATTTACCTGAACAAAAAGATTATGTCCCCCAGGAACATTTTTCATTATATGTCGTTCGATTTTTTCATTTTCCAAAATCGCCATCCCCCTGTCGATCAGAATGGGCGGCGGCGTCGCTTCGAAGTTGGTGCGAAAATCGGGCGGAGGTTTCTGCATATCGACTGTCGTTACTTTTAAGCTTATCGTTTTTAATTCTGCCAATAGGTAAAGGTCCATGAAGTACTCCTGACAAAATAGGCACGCTCCCTTCCGTCTGCCATCGATCGTTGATGCCTGTAACAAGACCATTTTATGTAAATTGAAGTACTTGATTGAATAACATTGTGACTATACCACACAAAAGGTAGTGGTTAGCAGATGTCTTCTGAAGTATTATGAGATAATCTTATATAAAAGCGATTCATTTATTAAATTATGTCACATTCTAAAGGAGTCTGTCACTGACCTTACCTCTCACTTTAGAATTAACGTACAATGGGATACAATTCAACACGAGAGTAAAATATCATCGTGGCCTAAATACTTAATAAACTGCCTAATTATCGAATAGAAACGTAATTTCCTGATAATTACGTTAGAACTCAATTTTTTTTATTGCTGCCATCCCAAAAAGGTCCCACAATTGCGAAACAATAATACATTATTCATCTCGCTTTCATATATTGCAACCGATAACGTCGATGTCAATCATCACGAAACGAAATCCTTCCAAATGTATGGAATTCTAAGAAGTTGAGTTACGCGAGCGATTTGTAACATGTGGTTAACAAACATTACATCATCAACCATAAATATAGCATTCTAACCGTTATTACCAATTAATGTCGCTTTAGTGGTAGTAATTAAAAATTATACATTTTATTTCAGCAAGGTTTGGATGTATGTATTGTATAGCGATCCTTCTTGAAGTTGTGTTCCAAAAAAATGCAAAAACGATATGAGATACCTACATGTTGCCATAATCGGTGAGAAAGTCTACGCACTATCAAACCTCGATTGCAGATTTCCTATAGGCAGCAATATACACCGCATAGAATTAATTGCCTTCGTCTACTCAACCGTCCCCTTTTTCCTGAACTCTTAAGGAAAAAACTGCTTCAACTAATAAATTCAATATCGTTGTTCCCCGGCAACAATCGAAATTCCGCTCAGTCGCCCGAACTGATAACCACCTGCGTCGTTTATCTCGCACATGGCATTCTTATCGCAAAACCAATTAATTTTAGTCCGATAAGAACTTCTTTTACAAACACCTGACCTGATCTTTTAACTCTTCACAAAAATTACTACCAAATATCCCCCTATTTAGGAGTTTGAAATTATTATTATTATTCTCATACCAACTAAATACACGAAATAGAATTAAATGCAGTAAACAATTACCGACTATATTTACAATAAGACACTAACATTAAAACAATTCAACAAAACTTTCCCATTATGTGTCGAAAAAAAAAGAAATAACATAAAATGAATTATGTTACATACAGGATGTCCCGACTACCATTTCCAACCGAATGAAATTACGTTAACAACGCGTATTTTTACACTACAAGGTGACTCGCTCTCATCTTCAGCATTGTTTCAATCTAGAGAAACGACATCCTCATGTAGTCTGCACAGCATTATATACTCGATTATATATTACTTTGGACCATCGTGTGGGCCCACTTGGAAGAACGGGGAAATAAGAGGTTAATTTTCTTGTTCATCAATTCTCATGATTTTTGGGGGAGTTTTTTATTTTCCAAATATTTTTCATTTTCAGATTTTTTTTTAAATTTTTGAAATTTTTTTTATGTTATAAGCCCACCAAGCTTGGCCCCCTGAAAAAGTGGAAAATTCTAGATATCATAATGTGGTAATTAAGCTGGAAAATTTTGGACGCTTTAGGACATAGTAATCAAGCACGTGATCGAGATACAAGTGTCAAAAATTAGTACCCTCGTTAGTACCTACCTACCTAATTCACATTGCGCACTTCCTTGATTGCGCAAGTATTTTTGTTGATCCTAAATAAGCTCAGTAGTAGCGATTCCTACAATGTTGAAAGCGCCCTCTATCGTTAATGCCTAGAAGAAGAAAACCGACAAATCAGTTTCATCCTTGTCAGATCGCGCCATTGATCGTGGTCTGCCGTAAGAACGAGTACCGCCAGGTGGCAAACGATTTTTTGTGCATTAAAAAAATACAATTATTATCACGTAAAGAACGTCGAAAACCAGAACGCATAAACGCGTCTATTTTTGAGCCCCATTAATCCTTTAACTCCCGCATTAAACCTTACAAGTTTACGTTCACAAGTTACGTAACGTGGCGCTAAACTGCGTTTCAACTATATTTAAAAGTGCACGGCGTTTTTAGACCTAATTAATATTCCATAAACGTAAAAGGCGATGTCCCTGATAGTGGCACATAATCCTACTTAACGTAATAAAAGATACGCGCCTATTTCACAAAGACGACGCATGGGGACGTGATAAAATATACAAATTTACAAAAGGGGGATTAAACACCACACTAAGCTCGTATAAGAAAAATACTTGGCTCTTGGTATCAAGTGATGAAACGGGCCACTGTTGTTCCAAAATAGGTAAAATGCAAGTTTCTTCTACGCACCGAATACTAACATCGTACGCTTAAATAAAACATTTTTACAGAAAGTACGTGTTTAGAATGTGGCCAGCAGGTCTCTATTTTGCCGTTAGCCGGAGTAAAATGTATAGTTCGCCGACATTAAAATACGAACACGGATCTTTATTAAATAATTACAAAGAAAGTAAGTACCTACCCAAATGTGTCATGTTTATAAATGTGAAAGTATACATCGATTAATCTTTATCTATTTTTGGGCACTTGCACATATGTTATGAGGGAACGAGATAGTAGAAACAGTCGGAGCGAAACTGGGAGAAGAGTCGTGCATGGCAAGGTTACATGTTCAAGAGAAGCAATACTAAGCAACACAAAACAAAATTTAAATAATTTGAACATTTTTTGAATTTTGTTTAGATCTTTTTGAATCATTCCCTGTGTTATATTTTTGAAAAGAGAATGTCAACTTTTAAATTACAATATACAGGGTGTTCAATTGGAAACAATGAGATCAGGTCCTCACACCTCGACTGCACCCAAAGAACAACTCTACAATATTATGTGGTAAACATTTTTACATGCGTGGAATAACAAAATATGCCAATATATTTAGTTCATAACACGCAAAGCAATAAATGTATCAAACTGTCTGGAGGGGAACGAAGTATAAAGACTTAACTTATAGCTTATACACAGAGATCTCCATTATTGATCTAGGAAATATTTCAATTGTGAACAGATCCACAACACTGGTAATTACTGTCCGTACAAATAATACGCACGCTTACCATATTTCCATAAAAAATTATTTGAACCATCTTAAGTGGTTTCTTAGGTACTATGCGATCAAAAAAGAGTTGCTGTCGAGTCACCTTTAGAATTTTTGCTTAAATGGGAAATTATATTTACCTTTAACTTTCAAAGAGTACTCGACGTCAATCCTTTTTTGATGATCCCCCGTTATATTAACCCTTAAATAAAGCAAATCACATTGAAACCGGTTGACCCATTGGTAAGCAGTTAAAGCAACAGAAATGCAAATATTAGACCTATGCATTAATAAAAATGTATTGGATAATATTTTTGACTTCATAAAAAATATAAACGTAGTTATTCAAAAAATTGTAAATTAATTAAAAATATACAGGGTGTTTCACAGGTAGGCTAAAATATACTGTTTCCAGATTTTTAATAAATTAAAAATTAATTCGTTCGGTGTTGCAAGGTTCCGGTTATCATACAAAAATTCATGATAAGGTTTACTATAGTTATTCAAAAATTAAAGAAAACATTGTATTTAGGAACACTATACAGGCTGTTTAACAAGTAGACGGAATCCCACTTTCGAAATTTTTATAGAGAACCACATTTTTTAATGAGTATATTTTAATCTAAAAAGATACCATAGTAAACTATCTTTTTCAAACACCGGAGGGATGATATAAAAAAATAAGATTCAAAAAAATTAAAAAGATTAAAGTAGATTTAAAAAGGTTACTACAAAAAAAAATTCAAAAAGATTTTAAATTTTTTTACATCTTTTGAATTTTTTTGAACCAATAGTGAATTTTTTACAGAATTTAATATGCTATTTTAGATTAAATCATACAGGCGTTCCTTACAAAAAATGAGGTTAGGTTCGATAACTTCTTTGTCTGCCCCCGTATACTTATTTTGAAAACGGCAGATTGTTCAACAGTATTATAAAGAAACTTTTGTAATACACATTTTTTTATTTCGCTCCGTATCTCTTAGTCGAGTGAATATTTTTAAATTTCGATTTACTATTTTAAGTTTGACCCAAAAAGGGCATATAACGTCTATATTACTTTTTTGATAGTACAACTAATAGTTACGGAGGTACCCTATAGATGTATCGAAAATGGGGCACTCAGTGCATTAAAAAATGTTCAAAATGCATTATTTAAAAATAATTTTTTTTAATAAGCTAATCAGTGTACATATTTATATGAAATATAGGGTGGGCCAATAGTGTGTGGACGGATCCTTGTGGGTTTATTAATGTACATTTTTAAAGTTCGCCGCTTGGACATGGTGATCGGCCGGAACACACATACAGGGTGATCCATATCAAAGTTACATACTTTTTAATGGAACACCCTTATATATTATTATATTGATTCCTCGGATACTATTGGCCCACCCTGTATATGGAGTGGCTCATCCATTCGCTTTCACTTCTCCGGTTTTGAACTAGAGGTTGCTCTCAGCGGTTTGCATTAAAGTATAATATAAACAAATGTTTCGCTTGAACCTCTCCAGCCATGATTTATTTTCCGAAAATTACTACTAGTATAGTCAAGTAGGTCGCAACCCTATATTGGTTGCGGAGTGGGGACTAAAAATGCATACATCGTGCGTAAACCAAATTGGGCTCTCTCCTGTAACTTTGGTAGAATTAACGATGTGAATATAACTTGAAGGGTCATTTTTAATAGTAAAAACGAATTTTAAAAAAATGAGGTTAGGTCCTATAACATTTTGGTTCGACCCCGTATACTTATTTTGATAATATAGGGTCATTCTGAGATTGACCATTTTTTGATTTTCCCCCGCATGTCTTAAGCGAGTGAATATTTTAAAATTTTGATTTGACCATTTTAAGTTTGACCCAAAAATAGCATAAATTCGTTTAATAGATACCCTATAAGTGTCTA